ACATCTCAAAATTGGAGCATTTCACATCAAACTGTGTATTTCCACTAATTGTGAAATATCGGAATATTGGCCACACCAGGCCTTCATGTTGGCTGGAGTTGAGTCGTGGCTGCAGTTGAAGTAGGGTTGGAACTCTCCAGTTTGTCCCTGTCCTGTTTTCTAGCAGCATTGCTTTCTTTAACCACACCTGCCTGGCTACTACAAAATGGAGACAATAATGAGTTAAGAAAAGGCTTAGAAAAACTGAGCTCTTGATCTTCATCTCATGCTTTTGCTGTGCTATAACTTGCTGTGGATCTATATATATATTTTATTTTTTAATTAAAAATACCCAGGTTTCACCAGAGTAGCCAGATTGATCTGATGCTCTCGGGAAAAGCTCAAAGAACCGATGTGGGGGATTGGCCTGTTTCTCTACTACTTCTACTGAGATAGGAATATTTGATTCAGTGTCTGTGAGATCAAAAAAGATAGACTGTTGCCTTCTCCTCCTTCCTGAGCTTTTCCATCAGGACTAGACTCAGTGGCAATTCTTAGTAGACCTTCAGCATGCTGTGCTAATAACTAGAGCCAGCACAAGCTATCACGCCTGTACAAAGGGGTAAGCATGCAGAAAGTTCTCTTTCAGCCTTCTCACTCTTTTATTTTTAGCACGCAGAAGCCTTTTGCAGCCCATTTTAGTTGGATTTTATGTGACCCAGTGGATAGAAACCTTAATGTCAGTGCTATTAAATCAGTACCTATAAAAAAAACAAAACATGGAAATGCTAAATCCTGATAGAAAGCATGTTCCAGTACTGATAAAGAGGACAGTGAGCTGGAGCTAGGGATTTAGCTCAGTGGTTCTGCCACCTGCCTCACAAGTGCAAGGTTCAGAGTTCGATCCCCAGGACCCCCCAAAAGTAAAACCATAAAATAAAAAGTACAGGGAGCTAAAAGCAAAAGCGACTTCAGAAAGGAGGAAGAATAATAGCACAGTTCCTCTAGCTCTCTTGGAAAATTCAAGGAGTCTCAAGAATTAATCCTATGTTAAGTGTATTTATAACTATCTTTATAAGATAGTTTCTCCTTTTTAAAAAATAGTTCACTAGTTGAAAGAAATAGGACAGTTCCTTTGCAAAGATCAAAGATAGGTCTTTTACGATTCTGGGATGATTAGTAATTGTAAATGTGAAAAAAAAAAAGCACATGAAAAAGGAGTAGGAGTTAATTGCCTTCTTCTAACAACATCTGTTGGTAGTGCCAGAGAGATCATGCTGTTATGTCCACTGTGTCACAGAATTTGTAGAACCTGTGTAAGGAAAAACTTATGTAAATTTCTCATGAGCTCTGAAGAGATAATTTTTTTGGCTATGTTCAGATCAGATCTGAGCCTTCCAGGGCAATTGTAGATTTGGAAAACTTTTACATAATGGAAATGTGTTTTGTTAACTATTAAGTTGAAAATATGATTCCCCTTTGTATCTACCTATCTCTTCCTTCTCTTTAAAACTTCTCATTCAAGAAACCTTTAGTGCTCTCATCTGTTCCTTTATCTGAGCCAAGTATGCCTTCCTTTTGCTCCTGTCTTATGATCAGTATCCTGCCTCTGTCAGATTCCAGGCGGTATCTCTTTGACAGAAGTCTATTTCACCTTTACATCTTTAGTGCCTAGCGTAGAATAGGAGTTCAGTATATGAGGATTGAATAAATGAGCAGATGGTGATTGGATGAAGAGACAAATAAATGGGTTTTTAGTGATTGCTGAGTTAGCATCATTTCTGGGTTTTATATATGATCAGACTAAAGTGTATCACCTGTAAGTTGCTTGTTACTTTCCTTTCATTTTGTAGATTTGCATATCCTGACTGCAGGATCTAATATACATATGTTTAAGTTTAACACAAATATGAAGCATTTGTTTCTAATTGTTAATTGGAATGTTCTATGAAAAATTTGCAATATTGAAAGAAGGGACCTGACCCTAAACAGTGAGGGTAAAGTGGAAATATTTACTAAGATATTGACAAGTTTGGCTACCACAGCAGTGAAGAACCTGATAGGTTTTACTTCCTGGCCACTTTTGTAAGAAGATGCATGTAATTTGCCAACTTCTGTACTTTTGTATGCATCAGTAATGTTAAGGTGGAGACCACTAAAACACTTCTAGCTCTGCATCCTTGGGTTTACTCTGACTTCATGGACATCTTTAGTTTTTGTTTGTTTCTTTGTTTTGTTTTTTTCCTGCATGACTTAAATTCCAATTTGAATGATTTGGAAGGAGGCATCCATTTTCTAGAGCTGCTCTGTTACAGGAGGTGCCCAATTCCTGGAATCTTTATTCCTTCCATTCTCATAGTCTCCTTCATATTTTACCCTCACTGTCTCTGCCACCCCAGTTCAAGGATGTACCCAAGGTCACTGAAATTCAAGCCTCTGACCTTTCAGTTCACTACAACCATTTTCAATCATTTTTCATCCGAACTGTGGTGATCCCCATCTCTTACAATAAAGACATCTTTAAAAACCAATATAAAACAAGAGATTTGGCATGAAAAGTCAAAAGCAAAAGGACCTCTACCGTAAGGCAAACATTTATTGAACTGAAACTTTAAAGAAAGCATGCTGCTTTTGTTGATTCCCTCACACATCACAGTTTTGTTTTCTGTGTTACTCTATGAGCCAGGCAATGAGAACCAAGCCTTAAATGTATTCAGTTCAAGAGCCCTGACTCAGGGGGCTCCACAGATGAAATGATTTCAAAATGCATCGTACCTCCAAAAATACTCCAGGAGGTAAAACCATGTTAGAGGTTTGTCTTTAGCTTTTAGCACAAAGAGGACACAAAAAGAGTAAAGTAGTTATATCTCTTCCTTTTAAACTGTACTCTCAACAAGAAATTTAAACTCAGCAGAATCAAAATTGGTAGATAAAATGCAGCTCTAAAAAATAAAACATGGCATAGAATTATTTCTACTTAGTAAATATTTGTGGCATAGAGTATATGGATGGGAGAACTGTTGAAACTAGGAAAACCACATGATGCACTATGAAATATGGTTATGAATTCACTCACAGAATGTGGTTCTTCCTCTTGCTGTTTAGTCGACTTTAATTACCCCAGGCAAGAGGACCATTGCAACTTGTGATTTCCAAACAGGTTGTTTCTATATTATCTTCAGTAGATCACCCAAAAAACCAATCACTCAAAAGAACAAAACCCCCAATACTGCTTATATCTTGAAAGTATATTTTATCTTCATAAAGTTGGAAGCTGAAATTATCTTCCATTGTGTAAAACCCTTTTAGTTACTTGGACATCCTATCATGGAAATTTTCTTCATGTTCAAAGCTGAACGAAACTATTATTTTAAACTTGTAGGTCAGTTTTTCACTGTATCCTGCTTCTGACATACACTTCAATGAAAATTAGGACAGGCTACAAAAATGTTTTTAAAGAAAGAACATTAATTTTCATTGAATTACTTTTATTCTTATGAGCTCTCTGTATTAGTTATTTTGAAGACCAGAACGCTGAACCAGGTTTCTGAAATTTACTCCACAACATGTTGTCTTGGTAAGCTATATTTTCAGGGTCATATTGAGAAAGGACCTTAAAGATTCATCTAGTCCTGCTTTGGTGAATATTAGAGAAATACAAAATCATGGACATCAGAGACTACAGGGTTTGTTTTTTAATTTAATTTAATAATAAATTAATTTTATTGGTACATTTTAAGTATACAGTACAATGACATTCATCATTGGAAATTTGTACCTTTGCATAACCTATCTTGATTCTTATTTTTTCCCCATTTCCCTTCCCTCCAAACCTCCCTATTTACAAAGATTTTGCTTCCATTTTTTTTCATTTTCTCATATTAATTCCATTCCCTTCTTTCCTTATCCATACCCCTCCCACTTCCCCTTTGCCCCTTTCCTTCCTATTTCACGTTATCTATTATACCTTTTAGTCCTTATATACACTTTCAGTTTCTCACACCAGAGAAACTGGTCTTTACATGTGTGTCCTATTTACTTGAGTATCACCTCAGTGCATCCATTTAGCTATAAATGTCTCTAGTTTCTCATTTTTTGTGGCTGAGTAGTACTTCATTTTATAGAAAAACCATATCTTCTTTATCCAGTCTCCAGTTGATGGGCAATTGTGCTGCCTCCAAGTTTTTTAGCTTTTTTTTTTTTTTTTTTTTTTTTTTGGTACTGGGGATTAAACTCTGGTCCTTGCACTTGCGAAGCTGGAGGTGGAACCACTGAGCTAAATCCCCAGCCCTCCAAGTTTTAGCTATTACAAACTGTGTGGCTATGAACATGGGTGCACATATATCACGGTGGTATGATTCTTTTAATTCTTTGGGAAATATACCCAGTAGGGGAATAGCTGGGTCAAATGGGACTTCCAATCCTAGTTCTTTGAGATATCTCCATGCTGATTTGCACAGTCTACACTCCCACCAGCACTGGGGTAGTGTTCTTCTTTGCTCACACCCTGCCAGCATTTGTCATTGGTTGATTTCATGATAGCAGCCATTCTTTCTCAGGTGAGGTAGTACTCAGTGTTGTTTTCATTTGCATTTCTCTAATGATCAGTGGTGTTGAACATTTTTTTCATATGTTTATTTGCTATTTCTACTTCTTTGAGAAATATCTGTTTGTTTAAGATGACCAGTTTTGGATTAGGTCTTTAAATTTGGGAGGTCAGATATTTTTAAGTTCTTTGTATATTCTGGATAGTAGACCTTTGAGGAATAGCTGGTGAAAATTTTTTACCCACATTGTGGATTGTCTCTTCACACTGTTGGTGATTTCTCTTGCTATGCAGAAGCTTTTTAATAAGACATTCCACTTCTTGATTAATTGTGCTAGTTCATGGGCAACTGAGGTTTTTAAGCAGATGCTCTGTAGCTTTTATCAGATTATTTAAAGTATCAATGATTCCTAAAAAGAAAAATCATTAAACATTGCCTTCCCCCTGTGGTTTTGAATGCTAATACAGTTTTCCTGAAATCTGTACATTAAGAGCCTTTGGATTTCCAGTATCTCACAGATGGCCAAGGCAGATTCCTACCAAGAGCAGACTGGCAGAGAGAACCTGGAGAACCTTTCCATGTGGCACAGTCCGGAGAACTATCTTGGACATCATAAGCAATTAACAAGAGATCTGAAGTCTCAAGAGACCATTTTGGTAATACTCTTTTAATGTCCATAGTGGTGGGGGCAGAGGTATGAAATCCAGGAAAAAAGCAAATATTCTGCTATTATACTACTGGTGTATATTTAGAAGGAGATATTTATATACCTTAAGAGCAGAGAAATCCATCACCCAATCAAGTGGTATAATATCTTGAGTGGCAGTGACAGACGCTATTGTAATTCTTAAAATATTTGATAAATTTGGTAATGATGTGAATCAAATCTCAGGAACTTGTTTATCTGACCACCTACTTTAGTGTGAAGTCCTTCATATAAACTATAAATAGAGCTCAGGCTCTTCTGATAGTTTTGCCAACAAAAATCCAATAAGTATCCTAGTCAGAGTCAGCAGTGGTATTTGTTAGCTGAAAAAGTGGTAATCTTCTCTTTTAACAAGGAAAGTATTGAAGAAATATAGAAGAGAAAACTAACACAAAATGCTTTTTGTGTTTATTTGGTATTGTTTTTGTAATGCTTAAAAGAATTTGATTTGTTAAACATAGTCTCATGATTCCGGTGTAAAATGCATAATTGACTAATTGATTTAAACTTGTGGTTTTAGGTTGAAATATTACTAAATTGATTTACAATGTTAGAATATTTAAAAGAATTTGATTCACCATATTTATAAATTTAACTCATTTGATTTAAGAGATTTAATTACTCAGGAAGGCTTTAAGTCAGACAGTTGCAGCACTTAAAGGAAATCAAATATATTAAATTTATAAATGAATTTTTAAATTTTTGAAGAGGTTTAATTAACTGTTTATAAATGGAGCTAAATATTTCTCTAAGTACCCTTAAGAGCAGTTGCTAAAATTTACTGGATTATAAACAATTGAATTCATAAGCTGAAGTTCTGATTTCCTAATCTTCTGATGCTTAGGAAAAACCAGGCTTTAAAATTTTTAACTTCAAGTGAAATATTAATATTTAAAACCAAATACTCTCCAACTGATCTTTGCTGAACACAGAGGTCTTCCTCAAGGACTCCGGCAGCCTCATGTGATACACACCTTTTGTTTTAAATATGATTGTTCTTCAACCCCACAGAGCTTGTTCTTTTTTTCTAATATCCTGAGAACCTGCAACAGTAACTCTAGATGGAACTAACTTTCCTTTGTCCATTTTCCTAGACATATTTTCACTACAAAAGGAAAATTCAGTGTAGGTGTGATGTTTGGGGAACAATAAACAGTGGTCAGGGTTTTGGCAACCTAAATAATTCATACTGTTACTAGGTGGTTCTCCTAGTATATAAAAATCTGTGATTTTTTTTTCCCCTACAGATGTCAGAGTTTATTGTGACATCTCATCAAAAATCTGGGCCAGAAGGTGTGTCGGATCCATATCTGACTTCAGGTCACTTGATTTAGAACTCTAGTAAGTAAGAATATGTTCTCAGAGCAGGTACAGCCCAGATGTCACGTGTCCCCTTTTCAGCCTTTGTTCCAGAGAAATACAGAATTTGACAACTTTCCAAATTCCCATAAAATCACCTCATTTCTGATCATTAGTGCACAATGTATTTTTCACTAAAGATTTTGAAGAATAGAGGAAGAAGAAACTTATTACACATGTTCATCCCTCATTGAAAAAGAAAGCCATGTTTAACATTCTGCATTGTATTTTTCTTTTCTCTAGTCTTCTCCACATGGCTACTCTGGAGATGGGAGCGTGCTTCACACCATATCAGAGCTCCTGAGCTTCCCTCCCGATTCTCTTAGTGCACTTCAGCTGAGCAATACAGCTTCATTTCACAGCTAAACATTCTGGGTGTTGTGTGGTGATTCTGATGCTGCTGAGGGTGTGTGAGTAACTCTTGAGTTATGTCTGAAACTGGCAATAAAAGCCAGTATCTAAATGTTGGACACAAAATCTGTGTTTTTTAGTTCACTGATGCTGGCACCTAAAGTCCTTTTTGACCTTGTAGCAGCAGCTGTTTCTGCCATCCCTGTAATCCCTAGCCTAGATCTTTGTAATTTTGGTGCACACTGTACCTGACTTCCAGAGGACTAGTGTAGGCTGCTTTTTTCCCAAGTGCTTTCTCTGGCTACTGGAGCCTTCCAGCCCACATCCCACAGTTACCACCCTGGCCAGGCTCACAGGAGATTGGCAGTGCTCGACAATTAAGGCCCTTCTTCCATTCCACTAATCCACAGTGGGTGCCGATATTTGCCTATACCAGCCTCTTCTGTCATGGCTGGGGTAAGTTTGAGACGTGTTTCCATGCTGTGTCCAAGAATTCCACAGTGAAATTAGGCTGCAGTTGCCCATCATGGTAATTTATTGATAATGAACATTTTCTCTATTTCCCTATCTCATGTTTTTACTGGAATTGCCCCAAAACACCTCCCACTTGCATTCTGATATCTACCTCTAAGTCGATTTCTGGGGAAACCTAAAGTATAAGACATTTTTCAAACCAAATGCCATTTTAATGAAATTAATTAGGCCTAGAATTTAGTTAGCCCTCAGCAACCTTAAGGGAAAGCAAGCATTTGCTACATAACTCTATTGAATCTGGAACTCAGGCACAGCACTTCTCTTTCTCACCTGAAGAAAAATGTGTTTTCACAATAGACACTGGCCTTAGTAATGGTTGCCTAGGTTTTTAGACCTAGTCATTCTTTCTGGAAATTCTGATTCAACCATTAGAATTTCAAGAAATCATACTGACCTCTAACTGCTTTCTGACAAAATCACATCCCAGGTATGCCATTCCAGCTTAAGGTAGAAAATAATGATGGAGTGCTTGAAGAGAGGGTTTTCTCTTTAGGCTGTTCCCCAGATGGCTTAATACAGTCCAAACTGTGGTTACGCTAATGGTTTCTGCTCGACTCTGTTGGGAAGCCAAGTATACTCTTGGGCCTAATGGATGCATACAGAGTAGTTCATTATTCTTCCTGTAAAGGTTTTCTGTCTGCCTCTAAATCACCTTATTTGGTGACTCAATGTCTCCAGGAAGTTTGCTTCTGGGAAGACATTTAAAATTTCTAACCACTGACCGGGGAGTGGCTTACCCAAAGGATGCAATCTGTTTATGCTGACATAGGTTCTGTAATGCAAACATTATAAAGTATTCATAAGCCTCCCCTTTGCCTTAAAATAGGACCCGTTGCTCCATTTGGGGAAGGTATTAGAGCTTTAAATGCCTCCAAAATAAATCTGCTCCCTTCTAGGTTCTAATTGTTCTCTTTCTTCCTTTGAGGATGACTCTGGGATGCTCTGCTTTTCTTAGCCATCTGTCCTTTTGCATTTGCTCTTGCCTCATCTCACTGTCTCACTTTTCCTTCAGCCTTGTTTACAGTTCTTTTTCTGGAGGGGTGGTTGTGGAGTTGACTTCCCAGGGAAAAGAATTAAATATTCATGAGAAAGATAGTGTGGGCTTGTGGGATCTGGGAGAAGGCAAATGGAATATATATTAAATGAAAAAATTTAAACATGTTAATTTTAATACTTTAACAAGCACTGGAATGTCTGTAGCCTCTCACAAGATGTAGTCTTCTTAAAACTGGATAGCCTGTGTTATACTTATTTTAGTTGTGCGTGTTTTTTCCCCATCATTAAATTAGAATATGATTACCTCCCACAGACAAAATAGCACCTTTGCTTACTAAGTAATATAATTTATTTCACAAATAGGATCAAAACACCTTTATTAGATGTTAGTGACTAGGGGAGAAACAGCATTTTATTAATATTTTAGTATTGACTCTTTTATTACACTTAATCAGAGTGGATTTTTGACAGCAGCCCAGAGATACGCTCTAAACTTTTATCTATGCTTCAGGTACGTTGTTTGAAAAATGCTTGTTTTTGTTTTTCTTTTAACCTAGAAACTGAAGTATGTGCAACAAGATTATTTTGAAAGCCACCAGGGCTGCATATTTAGTTTGTGTGGGATCTGGGCTCCTAGTAGTTTCTTTCTCTAGAAAGTTGTAAACAAAGAGACCCATGAAGGTCCTACTGCATAAAGTCCAGGACAAGGATACAAGGACACGTGAAGATACAAACATGCTCCCTCTTTCCCTTCTCTTTTTTTCTCTCTTTCTGTTTTTAACAAATAATTATTTAATGCTTGGGAATATAGCAATCAGTGAAACAGAATGCTTTCTCTTGTGGATCTGGAGGTTAGGAAGATATAGTCAAGAAAACTAAAATCAGGGGTTCTCTGTCAGGGCCTGAGATCCTCATCCAGCAAGATTCAGATGGCTGTTCTGGGCAGGTGCTGCTTACACTCCTAGCTCCCTTGGAATTGAATAGTCCTACTTGGACATTTTTGAAATTTTTTCTAGAAATAATAAAGATAGAATAATAATTCATTTCTAGCTGAGACATAAAAATAATTGCTGTGAGATTTAGAGGAGACATTAAAAGTTGTCTAAAGAGCTGGCTCTGCCACTTACTGACAGGGTGAATTGGGTCAAGTTATTTGGATTCTGTGTCTTAGTGTGCTCTACTATAAAATGACAATAGCACCTGCCCTTTGGGGTTACTATAAGGATTAAATCAGTTAATATTTGCAAACACGAAGACTGCTCCTGCAGTGCAGTGAGTGACATGTCGATATTATTTGGTCAGCTGTCCTGCCTAAGTTTGACCTTGTCCTCCCCTGTTGGATTGGTTGGCTAATGTATGTGATGGAAACCCTGTACCTTTTGAAGGGCCTTTTTGAACTTTGACTCTTGCTTTCCCTTCACTGCCCTTTGTCAGGTGGAATTGAGATCTTACTGGCTTCATGTGGCTTCTATCCTTGTGTGGTCATTCACTTCGGGACCATTTCAGAGCAGTGCTGGTCCTTACTCTGTGTGATTCTTCCAGGTATTTGAAAAAATAACTTGTACCACTTGAGAGCACTTTTCACTAGACTAAATATTCCAGGTCCTTCCATTTTCTCCCAAGAGACACGGTTTCCAAGTTAGCCTTAGTGTCATCCCAGGTTATTAAAAGGATCCCACACAAGCTCCTCCTTCATACGATGTGGCACGGAGTCTCCCAACAACCCCCAGTGCCCACTTCTGATCCATTTTCTCTGTACGTACTACAGGATGAAACACCTAAGATGTGAATAAATAGCCTACTGGGTACTAGAACTGGAATATATAACTAGCAGACAAAGGCGGTCCTATGTGGAACTTATAGTCGAGGGGCAAAGATAACCATCCTCAAGTAAAGGAATGTAAAGATTTTGGATTATACACTCAGGGTATGTGGGCAGAGGTCTCTTGAAGGTGATAACTGAGATGCGATCTCCAGTTTGAAAAGGAACCAACTATGCATATCTGGGAAGGAGCGTTCCAATTTAAGGGAAGAGAATGTGTAAATAGGTTAAAGTTAGAGCAAGTTTAGCTGTGAGGTCAAATAGCAGAAGAAAAGCCCATGTTGCATGAACAGAGGGATCAGGGAGAGTGGTCTAAATGAGGGTGTGGGTGCCTGCTCGTCATACAGAACTGTAGTAATAGCCCTCTTCCCTTGTCTTTGGAAAAATCAGATTTGCATGGGTGAAAGGGACAAACGTTGCAGTGTCCTGTCTTGAAACTGCCCATACTCAACCCACACTCAAACTGTGCTGAAGTTATACCCTGTGTGTAGGAATGTTTAAAAAAATAACCCAAAGGTAGCTATTGCAAAAAAATTTTTTTCTACCTGGATTGTTTTCTCAGACTATTTTCTTGTACCTCTGTTCCAAATGTGTAATTTTCTCCACCTGGAGTTCCTTCTTCCAACTTGTTAATTGCTGCGTGTATTTACAAAACACAACTTCAAGGCATCACCACCCCTGAGAGATCTTCCTTGCCCTTTGAATGGTTCCAGACCTCAGTAGGCAGAGGAGTTCTCTGCTCTACCAGCACCTGTCCACTTTTCTAGATTAAGCACTTATCACTTTCTTAAAACTGATTATTTAGCTTCCTTTCCCCTTCAGTTATCCTTGTGCTGCCTGTGAAAAGAAACTTCACCTTGTGCAACTTTTTAAGTCTAAAGTTAAGCAATGCACTTGAAACTTACCACCCAGCAAACTCTTGCTGCATGATTGAATAATGAACTTTGACTGGAGGTTCCCAGGATTTATCTCATTTACTGTTTCTTGAGGGGCTTTTTATTGTTAATTTGATGGGTAATTTATCATTTTGAGGTGTCCATTGCATTGCATTATATTGCTTAGCATTCTTGTGTCCCTACTAAATGCTTGGATTTATTTACATTTCCAAATACCTCATAGAAGCAGTAGTGGTCCCAGTCAAGAGCAGCTGCTGGGCCATTCACTCATCTATTGATGTGAAAATGTTTGTTACAATGTGCCAGCCCCTGTAACTGACCCACATATTGTGCAGGGATTCACTACTTCTCAGTATTGGCCAAAGCATCCTGGGTCATCTTTGTAGGACAGTTCTTTATTATAACAGAATATGTCTGTGTAACATCTAAACATCATTGATTTTGCTGGTATTGTTTAGTGTAAGATAGAAGATATCCAATCTTTTTCTTTTGTGATAGCTTTCCAACTACTTGGAGACAGATTTATTGCCCTCTGTGCACCTATAGCTTTTTCTTTATGTGAAAAATTGCTGAGTTTTTTTTTTACTCTTTCTTGTTATATGAATTTGACTGATCTCAGCTCTTTATTGTGGGGAAGGCTGTCAGTATTCATTCACTTTGACTGTCACATTACAATATTTTTACTCTACTTTTGTATTTGGCATTTTCCCCATTGTTTACAACTTAAGCAGCAGTAAAGCTGCAAGGATATATGTGGGG